ATTATTAATCTGACACTGTATTGTCTGCCAACAGTCTACATTATTAAGCTGACACTGTATTGTCTGTCAACAGTCTACATTATTAAGCTGACGTTGATCTACATTATTAAGCTGACACTGTATTGTCTGTCAACAGTCTACATTATTAAGCTGACACTGTATTGTCTGTCAACAGACTATATTATGAAGCTGACACTATATTGTCTGTCAACAGTCTACATTATAAAGCTGACGCTGTATTGTCTGCCAACAGTCTACATTATTAAGCTGACACTGTATTGTCTGTATTGTCTGCCAACAGTCTACATTATTAAGCTGACACTGTATTGTCTGTCAACAGTCTACATTATTAAGCTGACGCTGTATTGTCTGTCAACAGTCTACATTATTAAGCTGACGCTGTATTGTCTGTCAACAGTCTACATTATTAAGCTGACGCTGTATTGTCTGCCAACAGTCTACATTATTAAGCTAACGCTGTATTGTCTGTCAACAGTCTACATTATTAAGCTGACACTGTATTGTCTGGCCATAGTCTACTTTACTAAGCTGACACTGTATTGTCTGCGAACAGTCTACATTATTAAAGTGACGCTGTATTGTCTGCCAACAGTCTACATTACTAAGCTGACGCTGTATTGTCTGCCAACAGTCTACATTATTAAGCTGACACTGTATTGTCTGCCAACAGTCTACATTATTAAGCTGACACTGTATTGTCTGTTCTACATTATTAAGCTGACACTGTATTGTCTGACATTAAGCTTAAGCTGTATTGTCTGTCAACAGTCTACATTACTAAGCTGACACTGTATTGTCTGTCAACAGTCTACATTATTAAGCTGACACTGTATTGTCTGTCAACAGTCTACATTATTAAGCTGACGCTGTATTGTCTGTCAACAGTCTACATTATTAAGCTGACACTGTATTGTCTGTCAACAGTCTACATTATTAAGCTGACACTGTATTGTCTGTCAACAGTCTACATTATTAAGCTGACACTGTATTGTCTGCCAACAGTCTACATTATTAAGCTGACACTGTATTGTCTGTCAACAGTCTACATTATTAAGCTGACTCTGTATTGTCTGTCAACAGTCTACATTATTAAGCTGACGCTGTATTGTCTGTCAACAGTCTACATTATTAAGCTGACACTGTATTGTCTGCCAACAGTCTACATTATTAAGCTGACGTTGTATTGTCTGTCAACAGTCTACAGTACTAAGCTGACGCTGTATTGTCTGCCAACAGTCTACATTATTAAGCTGACACTGTATTGTCTGTCAACAGTCTACATTATTAAGCTAACGCTGTATTGTCTGCCAACAGTCTACATTATTAAGCTGACACTGTATTGTCTGTCAACAGTCTACATTATTAAGCTGACGCTGTATTGTCTGTCAACAGTCTACATTATTAAGCTGACACTGTATTGTCTGTCAACAGTCTACATTATTAAGCTGACACTGTATTGTCTGCCAACAGTCTACATTATTAAGCTGACACTGTATTGTCTGTCAACAGTCTACATTATTAAGCTGACACTGTATTGTCTGCCAACAGTCTACATTATTAAGCTGACAATGTATTGTCTTTCAACAGTCTACATGATTAAGCGAACGCTGTATTGTCAGTCAACAGTCTACATTATTAAGCTGACACTGTATTGTCTGTCAACAGTCTACATTATTAATCTGACGCTGTATTGCCTGCCAACAGTCTACATTACTAAGCTGACACTGTATTGTCAGCCAACAGTCTACATTATTAAGCTGACACTGTATTGTCTGTCAATAGTCTACATGATTAAGCGGACGCTGTATTGTCTGTCAACAGTCTACATTACTAAGCTGACGCTGTATTGTCTGGCAACAGTCTACATTATTAAGCTGACACTGTATTGTCTGCCAACAGTCTACATTATTAAGCTGACACTGTATTGTCTGTCAACAGTCTACATTATTAATCTGACACTGTATTGTCTGTCAACAGACTATATTATGAAGCTGACACTATATTGTCTGTCAACAGTCTACATTATTAAGCTGACACTGTATTGTCTGTCAACAGTCTACATTATTAAGCTGACACTGTATTGTCTGTCAACAGTCTACATTATTAAGCTGACGCTGTATTGTCTGTCAACAGTCTACATTATTAATCTGACACTGTATTGTCTGTCAACAGTCTACATTATTAAGCTGACGCTGTATTGTCTGTCAACAGTGTACATTATTAAGCTGACACTGTATTGTCTGTCAACAGTCTACATTATTAATCTGACGCTGTATTGTCTGTCAACAGTCTACATTATTAAGCTGACACTGTATTGTCTGTCAACAGTCTACAGTACTAAGCTGACGCTGTATTGTCTGCCAACAGTCTACATTATTCAGCTGATACTGTATTGTTTGTCAACAGTCTACATTATTAAGCTGACGCTGTATTGTCTGTCAACAGTCTACATTATTAAGCTGACGCTGTATTGTTTGTCAAGTGTACATTGTTAAGCTGACACTGTTATATCTGCCAACAGTCTACATTATTAAGCTGACACTGTTATATCTGCCAACAGTCTACATTATTAAGCTGACACTGTATTGTCTGTCAACAGTCTACATTATTAAGCTGACACTGTATTGTCTGTCAACAGTCTACATTACTAAGCTGACACTGTATTGTCAGCCAACAGTCTACATTATTAATCTGACGCTGTATTGCCTGCCAACAGTCTACATTATTAAGCTGATACTGTATTATCTGGCCATAGTCTACATTACTAAGCTGACGCTGTATTGTCTGTCAACAGTCTACATTATTAAGCTGACGCTGTATTGTCTGTCAACAGTCTACATTATTAAGCTGACGCTGTATTGTCTGTCAACAGTCTACATTATTAAGCTGACACTGTATTGTCTGTCAACAGTCTACATTATTAAGCTGACGCTGTATTGTCTGTCAACAGTCTACATTATTAAGCTGACGCTGTATTGTCTGTCAACAGTCTACATTATTAAGCTGACGCTGTATTGTCTGTCAACAGTCTACATTATTAATCTGACGCTGTATTGTCTGCCAACAGTCTACATTACTAAGCTGACACTGTATTGTCTGCCAACAGTCTACATTATTAAGCTGACGCTGTATTGTCAGCCAACAGTCTACATTATTAAAGTGACGCTGTATTGTCTGTCAACAGTCTACATGATTAAGCGAACGCTGTATTGTCTGTCAACAGTCTACATTATTAAGCTGACGCTGTATTGTCTGTCAACAGTCTACATTATTAAGCTGACGCTGTATTGTCTGTCAACAGTCTACATTACTAAGCTGACACTGAATTGTCTGCCAACAGTCTACATTATTAAGTTGACAATGTATTGTCTGTCAACAGTCTACATTATTAAGCTGACATTGTATTGTCTGTCAACAGTCTACATTATTAAGCTGACAATGTATTGTCTTTCAACAGTCTACATTATTAAGCTGACGCTGTATTGTCCGCCAACAGTCTACATTATTAAGCTGACTCTGTATTGTCTGTCAACAGTCCAAAGTTTGGAATGATATAATATTGATAAAGGTGTTAAAAGGTGTCCCGTATTCAGAAGTTTTGAATGATAAAAGTAATATTGATAAAGGTGTTAAAAGGTGTCCTGTATTCAGAAGTTTGGAATGATAAAAGTAATATTGATAAAGGTGTTAAAAGGTGTCCTGTATTCAGAAGTTTGGAATGATATAATATTGATAAAGGTGTTGAAAGGTGTCCTGTATTCAGAAGTTTGGAATGATAAAAGTAATATTGATAAAGGTGTTAAAAGGTGTCCTGTATTCAGAAGTTTGGAATGATAAAAGTAATATTGATAAAGGTGTTAAAAGGTGTCCTGTATTCAGAAGTTTGGAATGATAAAATAAATATTGATAAAGGTGTTGAAAGGTGTCCTGTATTCAGAAGTTTGGAATGATAAAAGTAATATTGATAAAGGTGTTAAAAGGTGTCCTGTATTCAAAACTTTTGAATACTAAAATAAATATTGATAAAAGTGTTAAAAGGTGTCCTGTATTCAGAAGTTTCGAATGATAAAATAAATATTGATAAAGGTGTTGAAAGGTGTCCTGTATTCAAAAGTTTGGAATGATAAAAGTAATATTGGTAAAGGTGTTAAAAGGTGTCCTGTATTCAGAAGTTTGGAATGATAAAAGTAATATTGATAAAGGTGTTAAAAGGTGTCCTGTATTCTGTTGACATATCCACTTCTAAACATACTTTCTGTTCATATACCATTCACATTCCAGCGTCTCAGTCGTGTTTTATGGTTGCAGCCATATTGCCACTGACTAATGCTTCATTCCTACATATTCATATAAAGGTTGCAGTGTTTAATCTTTTTAATTTAAACATATTTTATTGTAAAAAGTACCACCCTGTCGTTTTATAGCCACTGACCCAGCAATACTTTAACAATACCGCTTTTTTCTCAATTTTCTGTGTATATTTAATTGAAGTTTCACATAGGATGACTCAGACTGATGATGGAACTTCACCTTATAAATAACCTTGATATTTTTGTTTCAACTTCGTCTTTCTCTACGTAGTTTTTTCGTCGAAAATACTTTAACGTATACCAAAATATGATCTGAGCATCGCGTGCTTCATGCCTAAAAGTTTGTGATCAAACGCCAGGAAATGCTTCTTTCTCGTGCATTTCTTTATATACACACCAATAAGAAAACTATCTTTATCACTGTCTGGATTTAAATATAGAAAACTACTGCAAACACAAGAAGCATCTGAGGATCTAGAAATGAAAGTGTTAACGTTTGGTTCTAGTGTTCGCATTGACCATCTTATATATATATTTATATCAATTAATTAAGCTACTGATTTTTTTCCTAGTGTAGGATAGTTAACTATTATAATCCGGCTAAAGTGAGGTCATCATACGACAATAAGCATTACACATCATTTGGGAAAACCCAGTGTATTTCCGCGGGTCAAGGTGCTTTTGTTGTATTGTGAACTCAGAAAATGGACTGTTTATAACGTACGGTTTGGTTTTTTGTGGACCTAGAAAGGGAAAGGACATCGATTTGCATTCCCTGTGACCTTTTAGGTAACATGCTTGGACAATACACTAATCAGGTATATTTAGAAACACTCCTTCAAACCCATTAGGAAACCTGGGGTCGTGCTGGTTGTATGTGTCTGTGGTACACAATTCGTGTACAAAACAAGTATTCTAATAATTTCTTGATATCAGCGTTGTTTTGTACCAACTTTGTTGTTGTAATTATCATGTATGACATCTTATGTATATAGCGTTGTTCTATAAATAACCATTTACCATTGTTTACAACAGCATTGTTTGTCATTGTTGATGATAAAGGAGGATAATATTACCTACAACATCGTCCGTCTCACCATAAGATATTTATTACTTATATATTAACTAACAATGTTTGTATTAGTATCGTTGATGATTGTGATGTTTAATTGTAGATTTGCTTTTATGAACACATTTCATGACTTCTTAAGACTAATAGCACTGAATAGCACTTGAGATTTCACTGTCTCATGTACAGGATATTGTTTTTCCTGTCCCAAGGAATTGTGTTGACACGTTAAATACTTCTTCAGATATTATGTTACATCATAAGATGGTGTAAAACTTTTGTAGATATTTCTGACTCCAGATATGATATAACATCATAAGATGGTGTAAAACTTTTGTAGATATTTCTGACTCCAAATATTATATAGCATCATAAGATGGTGTAAAACTTTTGTAGATATTTCTGACTCCAAATATTATATAGCATCATAAGATGGTGTAAAACTTTTGTAGATATTTCTTACTCCAAATATTATATAGCATCATAAGATGGTGTAAAACTTTTGTAGATATTTCTTACTCCAAATATTATATAGCATCATAAGATGGTGTAAAACTTTTGTAGATATTTCTGACTCCAGATATTTTATTACATCATAAGATATAAAAATAAAGAAATGGTGATGAGTATGACAATACTAATAAATTAAATTGATTAAGGTAATATTGTATGTAATATTGATATAATGACGTTACATAATGATTTTCTATAGAGTCATGTCACGTTACATAATGATTTTCTATAGAATTATGTCACGTTACATAATGATTTTCTATAGAGTCATGTCACGTTACATAATGATTTATCTAAAGAATCATGTCACGTTACATAATGATTTATCTAAAGAATCATGTCACGTTACATAATGATTTATCTAAAGAATCATGTCACGTTACATAATGATTTATCTAAAGAATCATGTCACGTTACATAATGATTTTCTATAGAGTCATGTCACGTTACATAATGATTTATCTAAAGAATCATGTCACGTTACATAATGATTTTCTATAGAATCATGTCACGTTACATAATGATTTATCTAAAGAATCATGTCACGTTACATAATGATTTATCTAAAGAATCATGTCACGTTACATAATGATTTATCTAAAGAATCATGTCACGTTACATAATGATTTATCTAAAGAATCATGTCACGTTACATAATGATTTATCTAAAGAATCATGTCACGTTACATAATGATGTCATGTCACGTTACATAATGATTTATCTAAAGAATCATGTATATAATGATTTATTACGTTACAAGAATCATGTCACGTTACATAATGATTTATCAAAGAATCATGTCATTTATATATAGTTTAATAATGATGTCACATAATGTCATGTCACGTTACATAATGATTTATCTAAAGAATCATGTCACGTTACATAATGATTTTCTATAGAATCATGTCACGTTACATAATGATATTTCTATAGAATTATGTCACGTTACATAATGATTTTCTATAGTCATGTCACGTTACATTTATATATTTTCTAGAATTATGTCACGTTACATAATGATTTTCTATAGAATTATGTCACGTTACAGAATGATTTATATATAGAATTATGTCACGTTACAGGATGATTTATATATAGAATTATGTCACGTTACAGGATGATTTATATATAGAATTATGTCACGTTACAGGATGATTTATATATATAATCATGTCACATTAAAAAGTTATTTATAATATTACCTGTGATGTTACAATTGACAGCATTAGCTATTTATAGAATCATTCTATTTTTATGGTAATATTACCTGTGATGTTGATACAATTGACAGCATTATCTATTTATAGAATCATGCTATTTCTATGGTAATATTACCTGTGATGTTGATACAATTGACAGCATTATCTATTCATAGAATCATGCAATTTGTATCTTACTATCTCATCTAAAGAGTTGGAAGAAAATGAAGTAAAAAGAAAGAAGAAAAGACTTTTGAAGGTTGGAGGGACCTGAAATATAACTATTGTGGCAGTCATTGCGAATATATATGATATTATAAACAATACATGGAGCACGTCTTTGTTGAAAAATCTATTAGACTCAGCAATAGATCTTTTCGGTAAATTTAAGTGTTTGCTTTTCCAGAGATGTGACCTATTATGCTATTTGGAAGCATCGAGGAAGATTTCAATATAACAGATAAATCTAACGATTGTAACGAATGTCTGCCAGACGAAAAGCTAGAAAAAGCGTTCCATAGCTCTCTACAAGAGGGCAGCAGCTTACCACTACTTAAGGAGGAACTTCGTCTCAAAATTCAGCACGAACGACTGAAGAGTGGACAAGATGAACTGGTTGTAGCTCAAAGTCCACCAAAACCCGACATTGTGAGTAGATTTTTTCCGACACAACAGTTAATTTTGATTAAAATGACAACTCACATTGCGTAGTACTTAATTAATATATTTTTAATGTTCATTTACTGTTGTGAAACAGAGTCTGGTTTAAAAGCCGACAAAAATGAATACGCTGTTTTGCACTGAAAGTACTCTTTCTTTAAAAAAACCACTCAGAAACTCATAAAACACATGGTTAATTAATTTATATATTTTCATAAAAAAATTACTTGTATCTATATATCAATCAATTAAGATAGCATTCAATTTAATAGCTACGCTATGAATAAATCTATAATAACAAATTACAACATTCTAGATAAAGTGGTTAAATTTCAGACCATATAAATATATGTTTGTTAAGTGATGATAATTTGGAGTAATTAGGATTGATCTAGTTGTGGTATACAAAACTGACAAATAGAAAACAATACAGTCAAAGTACTAGACGAGACAATGCTTTAAAGTCAATTTATTTGATTAATTAAGCTAACTGATTCAGAACTTGATCAGTGACACAATACGATGTCATATGTTTACCTTATGGTAGTTTGTATATATTTCTTCAATTTCACCTGATTTTAAATATCAATAATTTGGAACTAAAAAATAATATGTCAAGTGGTGTAGATTTTCAATGAAAACAATTTTTAATATTCAATGTCGGTCAATGATGATGTTTCCTTTGAGAGCGTGGCATTACTTACCGGAATTGGCCAAGGTTTACATGGCGGGTGTCGTCGATGAAGCAAAGGACGCTTACACCTGCGGAACAATGGTTTAATTCTCCTTGTACTTTTTCATGAGTCTCCATGAATATCTCTCTTTTGTTCCTATTTTGCCTTTGTTTTATTTAATTCTAGTTTGGAGGATGATTATGTTGACATGCTGGTTTGTTCTTATTTTTCCCCATCAGCCGATATAGATGGGAGTTTAGAAATAACTCGTCAAAGTGGTGTTATTCTTTACCCAGAAATATATATCTATAGTTCCATAATGTATATATCTGTTGTCCGATAATGTATATCTATTGTCTGATAATGTATATATATTGTCCAATATTGTACATATATTGTCCGATAATGTATATATATTGTCCAATATTGTACATATATTGTCCGATAATGTATATCTATTGTCCAATATTGTACATATATTGTCCGATAATGTATATCTATTATCCGATATTGTATACCATTTGTCTGATAATGTATATCTATTGTTTGATAATGTATACCTATTGTCCAATAATGTATATCTATTGTCAAATAATGTACACCTATTGTCCGATATCGTAGATGTTAATAACACCTTTGAGACAATTTCAGACTTTCCGAAACATTGTCACGTATTGACATGATTTACAGTCCGGCATTATAACCAGACATTTCCTGACTTTTTGTGAATCGCATGCTGTCGATGGTGGCTTTTTTTCTTTTTAAGTTGACGTTACCGGAAGTGTTTAAAAAGAATCGACGACGGTACCAGAACCGCCAGTCAGCTGATCGGTCAAGACACCGAGGGAAAGAATATGAAAAACAACTTTTAGAGGTTACAATATTTGATATATTCTTGTAGTGTTTTATACCTATGTTAAGTATGTTGGGGCGTTTTGATTGCTACATATGTCTGACAAGTGATTAGTATAAAGTAGCCGAAGGCACTGGTCTTCGTTGACATGGCATGCTAATGTGATGAGATACAGGATAAAGATAATATAAATTAAGTGGAAATTTGTTGGTTGTCTCCTGTCTCACTTGTGTTCAGATACAAATGCAACATTCGATCGATGGTCTTCAGTTTTAGTACATATCCTGAGGTTGTAGTAAGATTACTACCAAAATCACTCTTTCTTTAGGAAGTATATATTATAACATGTACGTCGTGCTCAAAGTTTTGTATAATAATAATATCCTGGTCATTTTCCTAGGCTTATGTTGTTTAAAGTTGAAGATTGATAGTTTTTGGGTTTCAGACAATCTCACAGCAGGAGAAGCGGAAGGCCAACTTGGAGCGGCTCAGAGACCGACTCATGGGTACGAAACAAATGCTTACAGATGCGTTAAATCAACACACAAAATGTTCCATAAGTGTTGGAAGAGACATTACATCACAGAGGTTTATATCACTGCTGGGATCAGATTGGCATGGAAAGATGATGCCAAATTAACAGATATCGAGATGACAAGAAATGGCATACAAGCAGTTTTTTTTCTGACGTCAGATTTCTCAGTATACCGTTGTGTTTTGTTTTAATGCTAAAATATTGTTGCTTTGTCGCTTTGAATTGTACAGTACTAGCCTGTGAGTCTCTAGATAAAATAATAATTCAAATAAAATATTAAAAAAGAAATTTCATTTTTATCAGATTTATTCGTATTAATACGTTGTTATATTACACCTAAACCAGATCATTTGTATAATTTTTCCATCCATATCAAAGGAGACGATTTTTCAATAAGTGATATTTGACAATGATTAATGTATTTGTTGGGGCAATGAGAAGTGTATGTTGGGACATGAGAAGTATGTTTGTTGGTACAGGAGAAATGTATTTGTTGGGGCAATGAGAAGTGTATGTTGGGACATGAGAAGTATGTTTGTTGGTACAGGAGAAATGTATTTGTTGGGGCAATGAGAAGTGTATGTTGGGACATGAAAAGTATGTTTGTTAGGACAGGAGAAATGTATTTGTTGGGGCAATGAGAAGTGTATGTTGGGACATGAGAAGTATGTTTGTTGGGACGGGAGAAATGTGTTTCTTGGGACATGAGAAGTGTATGTTGGGACATGAGAAGTGAGTTTGTTGGGATAATGAGAAATGTGTTTGTTGGCATAATGCGAAGTGTGTTTGTTAGGGCATGAGAAGTGTTTTGTTGGGACAATGAAAAGTGTGTTTGTTAGGGCATGAGAAATGTGTTTGTTAGGACAATGAGAAATGAGTTTGTTGGGACAATGAAAAGTGTGTTTGTTAGGGCATGAGAAATGAGTTTGTTAGGACAATGAGAAATGTGTTTGTTGGGACAATGAAAAGTGTTTGTTGGGACAATGAGAAATGAGTTTGTTGGGACAATGAGAAATGTGTGTGTTGGGATAATGCCAAGTAGGTTTGTTACGACAATGAAAAGTGTGTTAGGACAATGATAAATGTTTGTTACGACAATGAAAAGTGTGTTTATTGGGACAATGAGAAATGAGTTTGTTGGGACAATGCGAAGTGTGTTTGTTAGGGCATGAAAAGTGTGTTTGTTGGGACAATGAGAAATGTGTTTGTTTGGACAATGCGAAGTGTGTTTGTTAGGGCATGAGAAGTGTGTTTGTTGGGACAATGAGAAATGTGTTTGTTTGGACAATGCGAAGTGTGTTTGTTAGGGCATGAGAAGTTTGTTTGTTGGGACGATGAAAAATGTGTTTGTTTGGACAATGAGAAGTGTGTTTGTTTGGCGATGACTAGTGTGTTTGCGAGGACCTGAGAAATGTGTTTGTTGGGACATGAGTAAAAAGTTGTATCTGTCATAACATACCCTACGTTTTTTGTTTGATAAGAAAAATTCTAGGCTATTCTACTCGAATCTATCTATCAAAATGTCATTCAGATGCGAACATTAAACGTTTAGTCACTTTTGAATACTGAGTCTGACTTATAAAATACATAAGCTTATTTTGTAACACGAAGTTAACGAGATTTCTGATATTGTTTAAAATGCAATATTGGATATCTTTAAAACTGATGGAAATGCTTATAGACATTCCATCGCATTGGGATAGAAAGAAATTGAAGCAATCAACTATTTGTCTAATTTCCTCAATGTGATTGGTTAACCTGTTACAATACAAAATTTCTGATAGGCTGTTTTACAGAAAATGTTTAGTGATAATGACGTACGGGCTCAAAAGGTTGTATTGTATACAAAATGTATCGCCCGTTTCAATACGAACGCCCGCTTCATTACATAAAGATAACAAGAATTGCTTTAGACGAAGTATTTATATTACGTACCAATAAAAAATATGTTACCAGTTTTAAAATAAATTACTTGTTACCCTTCATAAAACGAGATGTTTAAAATCTTGACTAGACCTTCTGGAATATTGTACTGATGAAGACATACTTGCGCTTGCGCCTGCTTTAAAGCTTTGCACGTTATTTTCTGTCGCAGAAATTTTCAAAGTGAAAACAGCTACCAAGACGTATTCGTTTCATGAACAGACAAAGCATTGTACTATGTTTCTATGATAATTGATAGCATTCGTTTATTACGGATCGCCATGGTATAGCATTGACAATAAATAAATTCAGTTGCCATGGGAAACATATTGCCTTCAGTTGCTTGTTGAAACTTAGCTGTTGTAAAATCCAAGACAACATAGTAAATTATGTCGACTGCGACTGTCTCCTGTTTATTTCAGGCGATGTTGAAGCGATGCCAAAAGCAATCATAGTCGTGTAAAGCGATACGACGATATACAACAAGGAAGAATTCCGAAATGGCACGGATTAGTGGGGTTGTTGGGTTGTGTAACATCAACCGGTGTCATTGGCAAAATATCAGTGATAGTATTTGAAAGGATAACGAAGCATGAATGTTGTACATTGAATTTACTGTCACTTGAAATATCGACACAGACACATTATTCACAACACCAGTTTAACCGAGTTAAAAGACGGCTATGACGACCGACACTTACACATGTAAGTTCATAACCTTATCTGTTTAGACTGTTTACAGGTGCATATTGCTAAACATCGCATTGGCTGTGACTGGTTCGGATATAACTTGTTTGAGTGTTTTTTCGTCCACGTTTCTTAATAACATTTGGAAGATTCTGAACCAATAGGCAAGTTTATTCAGGAAACAAGTCGTATTGGTGAATAAATAATTGGCGATTAGGAAATCCAAGATGAATGCTGATTAAGGTCAAAGACTTATTAGTGTGAATAATAATGATTATTCATTATTGCCATGTTAACGGCCCGTCAACACATCAAAGGTAATTAGGGCCATCAACCGGTAAAACACACAACGATCCAAAAAAAATTAAATTAAACGAACCAAAAGGTAAAAGACAAATGCTAAAAATCTTACATGGGTATTTTAACACAAAAGATTAAAATGGTACGTCATAGTCTATTATATACAGACCAATATCTTTCAGGTAATGTCGAATTTAACAAATTTCAACAGTTTCAAAAAGGGGTTTTTGACATGTAATGTTACGATAAAAACATTCTCGAGTAGACAGAAAGTCAATGCAGTACAATAAAAATGTTTAACAGTGAATGGCTCATCACATCCTGTGCACCGAGGATTAAATTCGCCTTTCAACATACATGAAATGTGTAAGGTATGTATGGCCCATCCGAAGACGAGCAAAGACAACTTCGTCTCGGTGGTTGTCCCTATAGCCTGGAGACCATTCACCGGTAACAGGTATAACGGAGTGCAATTTGTTATTGGTATATGTATTCCAATCCTCCTGCCACTGAGCTGTTAAAATGTATTTAATGCATGGTGTAAAATCGGTAAAATGAAGTTTAAAAACAACAAGTGGTAGCGATAAAGCGTCCTTAGCGGCACGATCTACTTTTTCATTGCCTGGTATTCCCATGTGTCCAGGAACCCAGCAAAAAGCAATACGAAAGGCAAGTTCATAATACAGTATTAAGGTATTACGAATGAAAATATTTTCGATATTTCTATTGCTAAGACTTTGTAGTACAGAAACAGAGTCTGAATGGATAACAGCTCTCATTACTTTGTTTCTTTGAATATATGACAAATCCAAAACAATCATTTGTTTTTATTTACGAAATATGTTTTTTTTCTGACCGTTTATTGTTCGTTTCTGAGTAATACATGTAAATACACTTGCTGAATATGAAACGACCGTCAAGATCAGTAGGTACATAAATATATATATATTTTTTTTTTTTTAGGGTGGGGGTTACGACTTTGTTCATTTTGTTCATTCTCGACGAAAAGTGTTGTTTGTAGTATAGTTCACATGGATATTAAGGCTCTGAAATTGCATCCCTTAATCATATATGGACGTCATGTTTCTGATAATCTTAGGCTTTAAGCACTTTTGGCCCGATGTTCTGTTTATAATTGAAGGGGAATAAGTCTAGCTTGATTTACACATGAGCAAAGAAACCGAAATCAGGATATTTGTTGTCGCTGTCTGGTGATACCTCCCATCTTAATATTTTGATTCTTATGTTTTCAAGTCATGACAGTAAACCTCATTTTTAATTTCAGTATATATAAAATAAACAAGGTGCACATTTACACACATTTACACACATGCTGGAAATCCCCGTCAAGGTCATTCTTGATCGGCAGCCAAATATAAGCTGGCTGGGAATTCCAGCCTTTTAATCACACAACGTCATCTGAATGCTAAAGACCGTCTTCTGTACAAGGTTGTCATTATACAGGTGAGATACTGATTTTACATGTCTGTTTCAAAATCTGTGATCGTCACATAACTATCTGGACGAATGTCTATTTCAAAATCTGTGATAGTCACATGACTATCTGGACGAATGTCTATTTCAAAATCTGTGATAGTCACATGACTATCTGGACGGATGTCTATTTCAAAATCTGCTTTCTATATATGTTTTTCCTCATGAAAAATCATTCCTGGAGTTTCTATTTTAATGGGTATGTTTTGTATCGGATTGACTTTACATCAAATCCGACGTTCCCTATATTTCCTTCACCAGATATCAGATGTGATCTTGACAGGTAGACCAGATGTTACTACCATGCTACTAAGCTATGGCTTGGGGACAAATTCACCATTATCTAGTTAAACCTTCCTTCTCGATATCGACTAAACAGAGATTACACAACGAGTGGTTTGTATTTTATGGTATCTCTTCTCTCACGTCAATTATTTTCCATAAGTTAGAAAAAAACTCGCTGATAAAAGCTTGTGTTTTTTGTAACATTTTGAAAATAACTAAAGAGAGTGATAAAAATCATGCATGTAATAACCACAAGTTGGTGCGACCTGTTTCTACCACAATCAAAAACTGTCCTGAGAATTGAATTACCTGTTCTGTACCAACATGTGTTTAGTTTACGGCGTAAGTTGGGACGTAATGATAAATCCTATAGTAAAACACCGATAATTAATATGGAAATTCAAAAATTGCAGAAATGCGTAAAAATATTATTATAATTTATTACAAATCATAACAAGTGATACATGGATTTATCATCAAAGCGATGAATTCATAGAAATAAATACCAAAAGTCAAATTGTTTCAAAAAAAAATTGTGAACTATTAATCGCGCGTT